ACACACACACACACACACACACACAAATAAAATAAAAAAAAAAAACAAAACCCATAGGCATAGATGCCTCGAAGAAGGGACTCAGAGAGGTTCATGTCATCGAAGCTGTCAACAATCTCATTCCAATTACTCTCGATGACGCCTTCAGGCTCCATCCCATCTGGGCCATTGTCTCGGGATCGGGAATCCTGACTCGCAGACATGATCCTTAGAAACTAGCTTTAAGCATATTCTTAGGATACAACTGTTTCTGAGTATATATACACTAGAAAATTAAACACTATCATGCCTGTGATCCCAGCACTAGGGAGGCTGAGACAGGAGGATTGCCCCAAATTGACAGAAAATATAGCTAAGAAAACAAAAGATACCTTCCCTTTGGAGAGGAAAGAACAATACGAAAAAGTTCTTCTTTCTTGCTACATCCCTGTCTATAGATCCTACTGTAATTTTTAGAGCTGACATTATTCTCAATAATATTTCAAGGCACTCATAAAAACTTTTCGTGTACAGAGCAGATCATTTCTTCTTCTTCTTCTTTTTTTTTTTTTTTGCAGTACTGGGGATCAAACATCAAGGCCTTGTGCACACCAGGCATGTGCTCTACCACTGAATGCTGAATTCCCAACCCCAAGATAAAATACTTCTAATTTTTCTATGTAAGTTACCTTCAGTAAAGACAAATTTCATGTGAAATTTGATTTAACTGATAATCAACTATATCAAATGATAGCAATTATTATTTAAACTATGACTTCCCTTAATGTTTACTCTATCATGGGACTCCTATAAATATAAATATGATTAAATGCAGTTTGATCAATGACCAGCCCTCCTACACCACTGACCAGTCAGTACCAAGGACTGAGCCCATGCTTTTGCTCTGAGCCAACTCCCAGGCCTTTTGTTCCTTCTTTATTTTGAGACAGGGTCTCAATGAGTTGCTGAGTTGCCCCAGCTGAGCTTAAATTCTGATCCTCTGCCTCAGCCTCCCAGAATGCCAGGATGCAAGGTGTGTACCACACACCTGACAGATATTGTGTTTTTTTATGTTCATTACTTCTACTAGATATATAGAAACAGATACAGATTTACTTGATATGTATGCATTTTTTTATTATGAAATCTTTGGAAGCTTTTACTCTATAGAAAAACTACAAAGAATGACCCTTACATATTCCAGAACAGTGATGTCCAGCTAAGTAAAACCACATCCATACACTCACTTTGCACACACTTGGTAACAGTACCCAAAACTGGCAGAGCAAAGACACAGTGTGAGTACGCAGAGGAAGCTGCAAAGTAGAGTCTTAATCAAATACTATAAAGTGATCTTTTTAAGCCAGGCCTGGTGGCATATGCCAGGAATTCCAGCACTTGGGAGGCTGAGGCAAGAGGATTGCTGGGAGTTCAAGTCCAGCTTGAGCTACACAGAAGTTCAAAGTTACTATTAACTACAGAGCAAGACCCTGTCTCAAAAAATAAAAAAGATCTTTTTAGTCTTCTACATGCATTGATGTACTGTTCCCATTATAAAGAATATATTTAGGAGAAAAAAATAAATATAAAGGTGTCATCTACTGGAAGTAGTGGCACATGCCTGTAATCCCCTCAGGAGGCTGAGGCAGGAGGATCATTGTGAGTTGAGACCAGCCTGGGCTATAAAGAGAGCTCAAGGCCAGCCTGAATAGCACAGTGAGACCTTGTCTCAAAAAGACAAAAGAAAAAAAAGTGTCTCCTTCAAAATGGTAAAAAACTCAAGATGTGGTAGCCATGCTTGCAGTCTTAGAACTTGAGAGGCTCAGACAGGAAGGGTCGGCCAGAACTACACAACAAGACTCTGCCTCAAAAAGAGGGGAAAAAAAGCACCTGCTTAGGCAGAGTGCAGCGGCCAGGGTTTGATCCCTGGAGTGCTGTCGGCCCCACCCAGGGGCATACTGAGACAGCAGGATGGAGACTGGGCATTGTGGCGTGTACCTGTAATCCCAGCACTTGGAAGGCTGAAAACGGGAGGATCACAAGTCAGATCTATGTAGTGAGACCCTGTAGATTCTGTACTAAATACAGAAAACAAAAAACAAAACAAAACCAAAAAGGAGAAAAAAAGTTAAAACTAAACGTTGACATGTACTAATTGTACTTCAACATGCTAAGGCTGAAAACTAATTAGGATGACACATAAGGTGTGGAGCTCTTTGTCACTATTATGGTAAAAGTAAAACATCTGCCTTGGACTCTGACATACACCACTGCAGCAGCAGCTGGGCACTGAACAAAAGCAGTGCACTCAACACATCAGCAAAGGCAGGGCTTCACGTGAAAAGCCCCATCAACAGCTGTAAAGCCCATTCCCAGCCCTATGCACGGCTACTGCAACTGCCTCATACAAGGGTGCTTTAGGCAGCCATCGTCTTCCACAGCCACAGGTGTAGTGTTAGTTCGGTCCTGATATTCCACTGGGGACATTTCTGACTTGAGTAACACAAAAAATGGGCCCTGATTTTTGAAAGACAAATTAAAAATAAAGTAATGTTATATAATAACTTGAGAAATCTGTAGAAATACCCTGAAAGCTACATGAGAATCGCTGAGAAGTGGCCCCTCCTTCTCCACGTAGCTGGCACTGGGCTCGCCGGCAGGCAGGTGTCCACCTCCTTCCATGCCCTCCCCTGAGCTTGGGCAGCTGCTGCTCTCTCCGGGATCCAGCGCTTTTGCAAGGGTGTCAAATGCCCTGAGAGAGACATTAGAAGCTGTGAGTGTGGCCAATCTCCAGCTATAGAATGGCAATTCTATACAAACCCTGAAATTAAAATTTAAAATGAAAAAATTATTTAGAAAATAGGGTTTGGGTGGGGCTCCGCACAGCTCCTCAAAACAAGCAGAAAGCCACCTGCACACATTTTTTTTTTTTTTTTTTTTTGTGGTACCAGGGATCAAACTCAGGACCTTGTGCTTGCCAGGCAAGCACTGAGTTATTACCCCAGCCCCTACACAATTCTTTAGCAAACAGAACAATGTGGTATCACTGAGCACTATTTCAACGACTTCTATGAGTTTCTCCCCAAATCAACAAATTAAAAGCTTACATTACCAAAAAATTAAGAGTATTTAAAAAAAAAATCTTGCCAGGCATTGTGGCGCACATCTGTAATCCCAGCATTGTCCCAAATTTGAAGGCAGCCTGGGTTACATAATGAGTTCAGGGCCAGCCTGAACTACAAAGAGAAGACTGTCTAAAAAACCAAAATCTTATAAAGAGAGAAAGAAAAATTGTCATACTTTATTTTATATACAGAAGTTATTTGGAAAGAGTAAGAACTTTTTTTGTATATCTTTTTGAGATAGGGTCTCAAGCTATGCAGTTCAGGTTGGTCTGGAGCTCATTTTGTAGCCTAAGGTGGTCTCAAACTCACAGTGATCCTCCTGCCTCAGCCTCTCAAGTGCTGGGATTGCTGACATGCATCACCACCCCTGGCCAAGAGTAAGAACTTATGTTGATTGTACTGAACACAGTGCACTGCTGAGTCTTCATTTTAAACATTCAGGTAGTATTTTTTGGTTATACAACTAAATGTAAACTGTTAAGAATTTGAGATTAGGATGATAATTAATGTTAAGAAACAACTAAAAAGAGCTCTGCATATTTTTCCAATGATGTCTCTGTGTCTAGAATTCCATAAAATCTCATGTTTTGCAGGGTACTCAGTGCTTAAGTCTTACTGTGGTGCTACAGGTCCACAGAAAGGAAAGTGCTTATCACCGAGCTCTACCCACCCTCAGTGCAAAATGCAGCATCTCAGAACATAAATTAGCAAGAAAACCCAAAAGAAATTCATTTAAACCAAGTAACAGGTTACCCTGAGTGCCATGCAATATGTACCACTTTGATTCTTGCATTGCATAAATTTGGTAAAATAGCTGGTTTCTTATTTCCTGTTATATTATACAAATTAATGAAAAAATATGCAACTTTTGGTCATCTTGTATTTTTTTTAGCTGTATTTTGTATGGCACTTTGTACTACCCAGCTTGGACTTGTACTAGTCCTCCTGTTTTCAGTCTCCTCATCGCTGGGATTACAGGCATGCGCCATGGTTTCGGTGGAGAGCTCAGCATGCCTGGGGGCAGGGCCGACATGTGGTGCTGGACTTGAACCCTGGTCAATGCGCTTGCCTAAGCAAGTGCTTAGTCCACTAAGCTATCTCGAGGGCCCATCACTTTGTATTTAAATAAATGGACCAGTAAGTGTTTAATACCCTAGAAACACTGACAAAATGAAAACCAGCTTTACAACAGTATTTTCTTCAAGAGTGATTTAAAACTATAGTTAATTCGACTCTTATTTTTATTTTCCTTAATAGAAATTAGTGTGGAGTTTCTCAACATGACTGTCTAGCAAGAAAATGTTTTTTTCTATATACACAAGACAAAATTTGGCAAATAAATTTTTGAAACACCAAACCCAAATTAACGTGTAAGAGGGAAAAAAAAAATCCCTAAATTTTTCCCAAGATGAGAATTCTGATTTTACTGTATTGACTGTTACTGCTACTTAAAACGTAACCTGCTGGATACAGAATTTTACACTGCACATGGTCTTTTAGTTAAAGCTTACTATGGCTTAATTTTAAAATATTTACTCCCTGAAACTTCTATAAATAGCACTTAATACAACACTATTCCAAGACAAACACAAAAGAGCACTTATCCCAGCAGACCTCACCTGCAGACGTCGCCACTGGTCTGCAGTTCTTGGTGACATTCGCCCACAGTCGTGTCGCCATTGGTTAGACTTTCCGCCCCAGACACATCGTTTCCATTCTGAGAGAGTTCGTTTGTCCTTCCGAGGTTTGCTAATGACGTCACCACACTGGCCAAGGTACTTAAATCTGCCTGACATGATTCAGCCTTAAAAAAGTATTAAAATTCTGTGAATTTGGTGTATTTTTAAAATTTGAAATAATTCTGGATTATGAAATGCAAAAAGGAAAAGTACACTAAAATAAATGAAAGTCAAATCCATTTGAGATTTGAGAAATATTTTGAGGAAAATCTAAGTTTAAAAAAAAAAATAGGTACACTTCTTTAAATCAGTTTAAGGTTGCAGGCACAGCTTAGTATCTAATGCCTACTTGCCCAGTGCACAAGGTGTGGCCTCTGATCCCCTGTTCTGTTAAATATATAAATATCTCCACCTGTACTTCATAGCTAACCAATCCATTTTAGAGTTGCTTTTTCTATAAAAAGATTAAATTACACATCTCATTTTAATTCACTTTTGTTTAATAATGCACATCACACATTCTTTATGCACTTGCTGTAATTATTTTATAAAGATTGCTTCCTGGAACACTCTTGGGAGGCTGAGATGAGAGCCTTTCCTGGGCAACTAACTCAGTGAGAGAATTTTCTCTAACTCTACATTTTTCTCTCCTTTTCTTTTTGAGATAGTCTCCCTATGTTGCCCAGGCTGGCCTTGACCTGCCAACCCTCCTGCCTCAGCCTCTCAAGAGTGCTGGGATCATAGGTATATACCACCATGCCTGGCTTTTCCTTAATATTTATCCAGAAATGTAATATGTACAGGAAAGGTGAACAAGTACTCATCTTTCTTCCTTTTTTTTTTTTTTTGGCAGAACTGGGAATTGAACTCAGGTCCTTGCGCTTGCCAGGGAAGCACTTATTGCACTGAGCTATCTCCCTGGCCTCATCTTTCTTCCTTTAAGTCCAATTTTTCCGAACAATGAGCTGACACGTTTCAACCCACTCCTTTTCAATAATTAACATATCCAAACCTAGAAAGAACTACCCTTAGCTAATGCTTTCAATGCTAAGATAACACATGATTCCCTATTTGCTGTTAAATCTTGAGCTTATATAACAGTGATTTTAGGGAGTAAGTAGAAAAATATACTTGCTGTGTTCCCACAGTCACTTAAGGAATATCCCACCAGGCACCAAGTTTCTGTATGACTACTGCTCAGATGTATTTTATTCCACCCTCCTAAGAACCCTATCAGATAGGAATCACTTGTGACCATACTCAGGACAGGAACATACTCAACCACCATCGCACATGCACCTTACCCATTAGTTAAGGTTAAGTATTTTAACTTCAGAGTAAAACTTAGGCACTGTAGGATATGTGCTTCCCTGGCAAGCACAAAGGCCTGAGTTCAATCCACAGTTCGGCAAAAAAAAAAAAAAAAAGACTTAGGCACTTACATACTTTTATATAAAGCAAAACAACTACTAGAGCTTTCACGTTTTGCCATTATAGACTCGGGCAACATAGAGGAACTTCCCTGTGTGATGGGACAGTCTGGAGCCATGGCTTCTCTTTTTGGCATTAGGACTGAGGCCTGGCCCACACATGTTGAGCACATACTCATGCTGGGATGACAGCGGCAGACCTGTGTGAGGCTATGTATAAGAGAAACCCAACACACAGGCTGTCACCAGTGTGCAATCCAAAGACACACACAGACACACAGTGTGGCATGCAGGCAACGTGAGCTCCAGAGCTGGCTCCCTTCCTAAGAGCAGCCTTAGCTTTAAGTCTGACTCCTTCCTGTAGACAGGGCTGGGTGCAGCTTCATCATTGCCAAGTGCCTAGGAGGAGGTGAGCCAGTCGCTAGTAATGACACGCAGAGCTGGTCTTTGAGAGGGCAGAGATTGCCCAAGTTTATGCAGCCAGGCAGTGCCCAAGAACTCTGGCTTCAGAGCCCAGGCACCAAGAGTGCCTGAAGTGCCAAGTAACAAATACACAACAAACTGGAAAAACACATGTAACTAGGAAAAATAATCTCACTGGTCACAGAAAGCAAATTGCAGAGCTGGATGTGGGGTCTAGGGTGCAGGGGTCATCGCCATGGACAGATGCTGGTTTGACCACACACATCGCAAAACAAAATAAAAAACACAAAACAAAACCCTAAACTGAACTACACATTAAACCAAGATCCTGTTATTGGCAGAGGACCTCAACCACTGACTCCCCAGAATCTTTTTTTTCTTCTCGCGGAACTGAGGATTGAACTCAGGCCCTTGTGTTTGCCAGGGAAGCACTTATTCCACTGAGCCATCTTCCTAGCCCCACTCCCTAGAATCTTATTAGGAAAGCTTGTTCCTACATTCAGAGCAGTTTCTGAGGTATACAGATACTTTACGGGTTCAATTTAAAAAAAAAAAAGAGCCTCTTATCCCCTTTAGAAGGCTTCCCTAAGAGCGGCTTCAATCTCCAAGAGAACCTATCAACCTCAATGTGTATCATGACAGCTTGGCAGTCTCAGGAACTCTGAATTCATGAGTGGTTGGGGCCGCAGACTCACAGTAATCCTCCTGCCTCAGCCTCTCTTGAGTGCAGGGATTACAGATGAGCACCACCACGCCTGGTTTCAAGTGAATCTTTTAACTGTGGTGTGCAAACAATTTCTCTTTACCTAAAATATTTTAATTTTTTGGCACTGACAGATCTGTAGTAGAAAATAAAAGGATGCTGAGAACTTTGCATCTATATTTTTTTTCCTGATAACTTTTATTTAGGATGAAAGAAGCCTACAGAAATTCTAAATGTTTGTGACTTCTATTTTGAAGCTATAATTCTAATAAAGTAAGACATTTCTACCAAACAGCTTATAATTTGTTTTTAAAAAGCAACTTGTAATGGAGAATATTTAAGATCAAATTAGTTTACTAAGGTGATGGGAGAGATAAAGAAAATGAAAAAATATTAAAGCTTAGAACATTTTTTTGATATCCAAGACAGGTTCTTGCTATGTGGTCTAGGCTGTCCTTGGACTGTGTAGCCCAGGCCAGGCTTGAACTTGCACCAAACCCCCTGACTCAGTTTCCTGAGTGCCGGGATTAAAGGCCTATGCCACCAGGCCCATTTAAAAGCTTAAAGCAAAACTGCAGCTGTTGGAGCTGGGGCCGCAGCTCCATGACACAGCGTGTGCATAACGTGTATATGAGCCCTGATTTGAGCCCAGCACCAAAAACCTAAACTGAACACAAAGTTTTAAAGGGCAATGAATGACCCGCACCTTCTCTGGCGTCACCAGCACGGCCGACTCGGCTTTCACCCCTGGCGGATGGATGTTCATGAGCAGCCCTGGGTCCAGCAGCCCTGCTGACCTATAACAGTGAGCACAGACCTCAGGCTCCCGGCAGGCAGGAGAGGCAGGTGTGGAGGTTTGTACCCCTGCTCCACCCAGTACCTTGCAGTCTCACTGTCAGTCACGAAGGTCGGAGTAGCAGCCAATGGGCTTCGGAGGTCTTTGCGGATGTAGATTTTTTCTGTTGAAGCGGCACAGTTGGAAGATTTTTCCCGAGATAATTCAATAGGTTTTCTTTCACACTGAACAGCTACAAAAATGTGTTTTAACAATGAGGACATAGAACTTAGAGGCCACTGTTATAAATAAAGCTCAGGATCAGCCATGCTGCTAATAGGAGCCATGGCTAATACACTGAATTTCAAAGATAACTGTAAGTCTTTAAAAATTATGTACAGATTCAACAGAGCTGATTCCTCTGTAAACTGCCCATTATACGTCTCGCATTCCCGGGTTTCTCCTGTGATAGAAATGTAGAGGAGGCCAGGTGTGGTGGCACACCCTTCATCTCAGCACTGGGAAGGCTAAGGCAGGAAGATCGTTGCAAGTTTGAGACCAGCCTGGGCTACAAAGTGAGCTCAAGGCCAGCCTGAACTGCATAGCAAGACCCTGTCTCAAAGAGACCAAAAAAAAGAAAAAGAGTATAAAGGAATTTTCATTTTTTAAAAGCTCACTGTCAAGCCAGGCTTGATGGCATGCACCCATAATTCTAGCACTCTGGAGGCTGAGGCAGGAGGATTCTTATGAGACTGAAACCAGCCTATGCTACATAGTGAATTCAAGACCAGCCTGTACTACAGACCCTGTCTCAAAAACAAAGTACATAAAACAAAATAAATAAATAAAACATATAATTACTGTCACAGGATATGGTGGGACATGCCTATAATCCCAGCTACTTGGGAGACTGAAGTAGGAGGACTAAAAATTCATGGCCAGCCTAGCAACTCAACACCTGTCTCTAAATAAAAGAGCATCTTCCCCAGTACTACGCATGCATGTGTGAGGATATATGCATGCATACATGTAGGCACAGAGCGAAAGCTCACTGTCAGAAGGAAGAACTGGCCATGCCTGTTGGTAAATGCTGGCGATCACAGCACTCTGGGAGGGGGAGGGAGAAGACCTGCAAGCTCAAGCCCAGAACAGGCAACTAAATGACTTACTGAGACCTTGTGTTGAAATAAAAAAAAATGTAAAAAGGGACCAGGGCCAGGAATGTATTTCAGTACAAAGCCCCTGGGTTCAATTCCTATCTCTGAAAAAATTTTAAAAAGATGAATTAAAATTAGAAATCTGATTTTAAAAAATAAAATGAGGGGCCAGGGAGATGGCTCAGTGGAATAAGCGCTACCCTGGCAAGTGCAAGGGCCTGAGTTCAATCCCTGGTTCCACACACACACACACACACACACACACACACACACACAAATAAATAAAAATAAAAAAATAAAATGAAATTTAGATCAACTGAAAATACTAATAGAAACAAAAAGGCCTAAGATACATCACTCTTTTTAGCTATGGGCCATGAAATTTTTTCCGATATAATTCAGCTTCCTGATCTTTATAATATTATATATAGTACAGGTATATGAAATATTTATAAAAATCTCATTTCATAATAGAGATAAGGTGTCATATCTGTAAAGTGCACATATGGGGAGAAGGGTTTGGGTTCAGGGTAAAACCACAACCAACTACTGGGATTCAAAGCACAGTTCTGCACTGCTTACCTATGCGACTACCTAACATGTGACCTGCTGGCTCGAGACAAGGGCCGGCCAGCAACGGTCTCTCCGGCCAGGAAGTGCTGTGAGCTATGGCTACATGCACGTCAGGCAGTGTGTCAGGCACGGTGTCTGGCATGGGGAGAAGGCAGTCAATGCCATGTTAGCAACTCTTTTTACCTTGTTCATCACTTCAAAGTTTTTGAGATGAGGGTCTTGCTATGTTGCCCAGGTTGGCCTTGAACTCCTGGGCTCCGGTGCCTCGGCCTCCATTCATCACGCTTTAGAAGTTTAGTTGATAAAAGTCACTTGGTAAGCCAGGCGTCGTGCCATAAGCTCGTAATCACAGCAGTCGAGGCTGAAGCAGGAAGATCGGGAGGAGTCCATGGGCAGCATGCACAACATAGCAAGACGCAGGCTCGACAACCAATCAGACACACAAAAGAAAAAGAAAGAAGTACATTGGTATCTTCAAGTCAGGTATGCTTTTTCATTGTCCTGTTTTGTTTTTCAGAGTTATGTACTCCAGGCTGGCCTTGAACTAATGTAGCCCAAGCAGCCTAAAAAAAGAACCACGATCTTTCTGCCTCAGCTTTCCGAGCTGGGAGTCACAGATGCGCACCATCATTCCCAGCCAGCTATACTTTTCTTCTTGCTTTTCACACTAAATTCAAGCTGAAACCACATGCTGTGGGCTGAAGAGTGTGACCCTGTGGCAGAGGGCTTTCCTGGCACACAAGGGGTCCGCGCAAGCCGCAGCAGCACAATGCGCCCGAAAGAGGCTTGTTAAGTAAGCACCAAAAATTTGTTGACTGTGTAACACACCTACATATTCTTATATTTTTAGTTGAAAAATCGGAAATTTCAGAACATAAAGGTTTGACATTTTAATGTGTTAAGCATTCAGAAGCCTCCTTCCAGCTGATACATACAGTCCTGTTTCATTCCAAAGGCGATACATCTCTGTAACCTGCAGTACTGACATCGGTTTCGATGGTGCTTGTTAATGATACAGTCCTTTGATCCACGACATGAATACACTAAATTTTTTCGGATGCTTCTTTTAAAAAATCCTTTGCAGCCTTCACAAGTCACTGCTCCATAATGACGCCCTAGAGAGAAAACAGTCAAGAAAATACAAAAGATTCATTTTTTAGAACAGAAATAAAACTCATTTCTTAAAGCACAATATATGAGATGAAACAGGTTTTTCCATACGAACCCAGACCTTCTTCCACCGCAATAAAGTGAATTATTTCTGGGACAGGACTAAGGGGGCAGGATAACAAGGAAGCATGCTACAAAACATCACAATTCATATATAACACAAGTCTTTTCACAAATTTTAATTTTCACATTCATAAATTTTTCACTTTTGAAAGTGAAACTTGTCATAATTCACTGAAACCTCTATCTTATTCATTATAAATCAAACTACAAAGATTTAAAAAATTGAACATTAAAAAGTTTTGAAAAAAAAGCTCAATATTATAGGTTACAAATACAAACTATAAAAATAACAGATTCCTTTATTTTCCTTTTTACTTTTAGAAGACACATAGTTGTATGTTAGTGATGTGAACAACACAACACTTATAGAAGCTATTTTTAATGTTACCTGATGCTTTGTCTCCACATACTACGCAAAGATCAAAAACCTTATTTGGTCCCTGGTCTTGTGAAGGACTATCTGTCAAGAGCTTAAAAAAGAGAGAAAAAAAAGGTTATTACTCAGTAATATTCTCATGTGGCAGAAAGAAAAAGAGAAACTGTCAGTGATTCATTTTACATCTTTATAAATTACTGTTAAATTTTAAATTCTGTAATAATCTAGTCTTACTTTTCTTTACATGGAGGTGAAAGGGTCAGTGTTGTAAGAAACAGCATCTTTTCAACTTGGTTTCGAGCAGTGAAACCAAACTGCACAGACAGAACCCCACAAGCCCACCAGGGGAACCAACCACCTTTCTTGGGAACCATGAGTGATGCAGGAGCACTTGTCCCCACAGCACCTCTGAGGAGGTCAGTGCTGTGCCACTCACAATGACACGGCCAAAGCTCCCAAAACCATGAAAAGATAGCACTGAACTTTTTAAATGGAAAAGAGAAATACAAAGAACCTGATCGGGTTGATGTACCTACAACTGTGTGAACAAGAGAGTACAGCCTCAGTGAGGACCTGAAGCTCTGGGCCAGGGGGCCGGAAGCCCTGCACCACTGCAGATAGTGATTGCAGCCTGGCCAACTACTAAGCCTACCTCACAAGGGAGGGCAGGAGGGCGTGCACATCCTCAGGTGCAGCTACTAGCACTCGTTTCTTTTTTTAGGTTTATCCTTTGGCCTTTTCACTTTTTTCTCATAATCTTAAAAAATGTAAGTAGATCATCAATTCAATCCAAAAAATGGGCCATGACATGTAGCAAATGCCTTTCCTCAACTGTGGAGGAGGAGGAGGAAGAGGAGCCCCAAGCCCGCACGCAGCAAGCTCTAACAGCTATTCTTGGAACCCCGGCCTTGCACCGTTGCCTCAGCCCTCCCAATGGCTCTGTGAGCTGTATTCTTTCCTAAACCGTTCTTATCCAAAGTAACTGGAGTAAACCTTACTGCATGTAACTAAGATCCCCTGAATTGGGGTGCATGTGAGGATTGGGATTCTGAGGATGAGAAAAGCGACCACAAGGGTGGCCCCAGAGCTCGCCCCACGAGGCATCGCTGCAATGACTGTGCGAAGTCTCAGCACAGGAGGTGTGCAGCACCCACCCCACACTTCGCAAGCGTAGTCCAGTACCTGTAGGTGTGGCGAGGACAGATCAGGAGTCGTGAAGAACAGCTGGTTGACGCCTGCTGCATCTGGAGTAGTGAGGAAAACCTTGCCTGGAGTGGAATCCTGCCGGGCCAGGATGACCTTGCCGGGTGAGGTGCTGTCGTGGTTCGTCAGGATGAATTGCTTGCCCTGGGCATCAGGATCAAGTGCTGTCACAATCTGGATTTTCTGTGCAGTTTGCTGCTCTGTAACAATCTGAGACAAGCATGTCCAATTCATAATCAATGGACAAAATCTTCCATCTCCAACTGCTTAATGATACAATTAATTCTCTCTTATCTTTAGATAAACCTAGAAAAGCCACCATTCTATACTGTTTACTTGTAATTTACTTTTCTGACATAGCGTATAGAAATGGACAAAAGTGGAAAATAAAGGTACACTAAGATTAAGCTGGGCATTGTAACACACACCTTAATCCCATCATTTGGGAGGCTGAGGCAGGAGGATTGTTTTGAGTTTCAGACCAGCCTGAGTTAGAAAGTGAGCTCAAGGCCAGCCTATACTGCATAGTGAGACTGTAAAGCCCAAATAATTTTAAGATCACATATAGAAATAAATAGATAAAATGTGTTTCAATTAAAAGGACCCACTCACTGGTTTACGGCCCTAGAGCTTGAGCAATCCATGTTCCTAAAACAAAGAGGACATAAAAACCTCAGATGGGGTCCTGTTACTTGGAAAGCAACTAAAACCACTGAGTTAGCCAAGAAGTTGCCCTTAGCCAAGAAGTTGCCCGTGGCCCTCCCCTTGTTTAAATTCTTTCAAAAGACATACATTCCCAAACCCATGTCCTAACTATTTAAAGCCATAACAACAGGATGTCCCAGGTCACAGTGCCCCGATTTCTTAAAAATGTCCCCGGAACATTACAACCACAAGGTTAGCCTCCCCCCCCCCCCGCTACCCCCAGACTTACTCCATCTGGTCATCCGGTATTGTAATCCACCAATTATTTTAAACATCAACCTACACTAACCAATGCGATTTGCTTCTGTAACTTGCTTGCTCCCTCCCCATTTTGTGGTTTTCGCCTTTAAAAACTATGCCTGTTTCACTGAAGGCGCGCTCTGTTCCTGCGTGTGCAGACCGCCCTGCGTATACGTAGATAATAAAACTTTCCCTTTGTGATCTGCATGAGACTGACTTTTGGGGTCTTCCTTCGCGGCGACTCGACCCTTACAAGACCCTGTCTCAAAAAAAAAAGAAAAAAAGGAAAAAGAAAGGAAAAGAAACTTTTTTTTTTTTTTTTCCAAATTTTTCTCTTTTTTCTTTTTTTGGCCAGTTCAGCCTACTCTGAGGGTGGGGCTGACACGGCATATGCTGCCAGGGATTGAACCAAGGTCCCTTGAACCTGCATAGGGTTGCCTAAGCAGGCGCTTTACACTGCTGAACTATCTCACCAGCCCTTTTTTTCCAATTTTTTAAAAAAAATATTTATTTATTTATTTGGTACAGGGTCTCCTCACGCAGCTAGGGCTCATAGTGATCCTCTGGTCTCAGCCTCCCAAGCAATGGGATTACAGACATGCACCACCACGGCATGGTACTGGGGATTGAACTCACATCCTTGCACTTGCCAGACAGGTGCTTAGATTGCCAAGTTACTTCCCTTTTAAAAAAAATAAAAGTAGTGAATTTTATGTACTTAAAATTCATACAGTAACCCTTCAATTAAAGAGAATACATATAGAAAAAAGAAAAAGACTAAGTGCTATTACAGTTTGCCATGACTTGTATTATTTGTCTGGGGGGAACAAGGGGACTTTTTTTGTCTTGTTTTTCCTGAGATAGCATCTCTCTTTGAAGCCCCAGCTGACCTAGAATTCAGGATCCTCCAGTCTCAGCCTCCAGAGTGCTGGGACTAAGGTGTGAGCTGCTGTGCCTGACTGTGTCCCGACCTCACATTAACTGGGGACAGACCCCACCACCCTGTCCTGTCTCACCTTTGGTAGAGACTGGCTTTTGTTAGTGTTACTTTACAGCAAGGCCCATCCTTCTCACAGAGAGGATGCAATAGTGAAAGAAGGGCAGAAAAAAGATCCCCAAAAGGCTTTGTTTTCTGAAGTTTATTTCTGGGCCTCAAGTGCTCAACATTATGCTAGTCTTTTAACACTTCTAGGGGTACTGAGCCACACCCCAATAAAAACCAAAAACATGACAACATTGTATCACAGCACCTGGTGCTAAAGAGCAGGACATGATCATTTATAAAAGGCAATGCCAAAACAAACCATCAAGACTGGCCTAGAGCAGGGCATGACTGTGCCCACCTATCATCCCAGTTACTCAGGAGCCTAAGGCAAGAGATGGAACATTCCAAGCCAGCCTGGGCAATGCAGTGAGATTCTGTCTCAAAAATAAAACAAACACAGCCAGGTGTCATGGCACATACCTGTAATTCCAGCACTGGTGAGGCTGAGGCAGGAGGACTTCAGCAAGTTCAAGAGCAGCCTGGGGTACACAGTGAGTCAAGGCCAGCCTGAACTGGGTAGCTAGACCTTGCCACAAAAAACCAAAAAGAATCCCACCACCACAACAAAACAAAATACAATCAAGGGCTGGGGCCATATCTCTGTGGTACAGCACTTGTCTAGCAAGCACAAGGCCCTGGGATCCATGCTCAGCTCTGCAAACAAAGACCTGCCTCAGATCTCATACCCTCCACAAAACACTGACTGATCCAGGCCCAGTGACCACTGTTCTTCCTCTTCATTGGACAATAGGCTACCACACACTGAGCATTTTCTGCCGTAGCCCATAACTTGGTTTGCACTATTAAAAAGCTACCTCTCCAGGTCAGGGGGACCTTTTACCTCTGCACCTCCAGGATCCTACACATACATATACACTCAGTGTAAAGAATAAAAAAGTCTGGTGAGTTAGTAAAAAAACTATACTAGCTGATGGCTAGAGGGACAGATCAGCAGAATAAGTGCTTGCCTGGCAAGTGCAAGGTCCTGAGTTCCATTCCTGTTACCACCAAAAAAAAAAAAAAAAAACAACAACCAAAGGAACCAAGAAACGTACTAGCTGTGGTAGCACATGCCTATAATCTCTCAGCACTCAGAAGTCTGAAGCAGGATTGCTTTAAATTCAAGGCCAGGCTGGAATACACAATGAGTTCAAAGCCAGCCTAAACTGCATGAGACCCTGTCTCAAAATAAGTAAAACAAAACAAAAAAAGAAAGAAGAAAAGAAAGGTAGGAAGGAAGGGTACACTAGACATACCTCTCCCATCTGTTGTTCAATAATCTGATGTGCAATTTCTTCGATGGTTGCCATGATTAACTGTCCAAACAGCCTGCCAACAATAAAAAGATGCTTTTTCACTATGATTCACAAAAACATATTTACTGAAGAATTTATAACTGCAACTATATGATAG